CTCGCGGGTGAAGGGGTCTGCGCCGGCGTGCGTGCGGCTGTCTCCGGCCCTGGGATCCGCAGCGCAGCGGGCCGCTCGCCCGCAGGTCCTCCCCTCCCCCGTCATCCTCTGGGCCGCCTCAGCCCGACCGGCGGAAACCCCGCTTTTCCGGGGCGCGGCCCCGGCCGGGATGGGCCTGACGCGGGAGCGCGCCTCCATCCCGCCCCACCCCTCCCCCCGCGACCTGCGGAAATGAAGCTGAACCCACTGCCCCGACCCGGCCCCTTCCCTGGGGTGGGGGTTTCTTCCCTGCACCACCTAAGTGGACAGTGAGGACCAGCGGCCGATTGCTGCCTCGAGCGAGCCACGGGCCAGGGGCCAGGAAGTTTCCGCCCCTGCCCCTCCCAGCGTGGGCTGGGGCTCTGGGCACCCAGTCCTCGAGGCCCTTGGCAAGGGTGGATTACAAAGCTAAGCCCTGGCCTTCAGCCTCCCTCTCCCCCCAGAACCACTAGTCCCAGGCTCATTTCTGCCAGCAAATTCCTATACTTAGAATGTTTTCTGTGCTCTGTCACTTACTCCTTAAATTCTGTTCCTCCGAACACCTCACTCAACTGCCAGTCCCCTGTGGGATCCCCCAGCTCCCCCTCCAGCAACCTCCTGGAAGACTGGTGCACTCAGCCCCCCTGTGGGGGCTCTTCCACCAGCACAGCCTGCAGCTGTCAGCACTGCTCTCCAGGGGCCTGGGAGGTGCCTGCTGAATCCAGCCTCCAGCCTGGCTGGGCAGGAAGACCAGGAGTCAGTGGGCCTCCAGCCTGAGGTAACCCTCCCGTCACACACACCAAAACCTGGAGACGTTGGCTGCAACTTCCCAGGGGTCACAAGGACTCAGGAATATGTAGATATTGATGCTCTCAGGCTATGGACTTGGGCTCTTCAGGCCACAAGGTCTACTAAGTTCTGACCTGGCCTACTTCCCAAGCCCACTGGACTTCCTGAGCCAGGCCAGGTGCTAAGCTGGCTATTTTTACGCCCCAAGGACAAAGTAGTAAGGACAGATCTGGAGGTCCACTCCAGAGCCGCCGTCAAAGGCTAGCAGCAGGGAGTCCCAATTTCACCAAGGTTTTGGCTTCATCACCAGTCTCAACTGCAGTGTCTGGCCCAGGTCTCCCCAGTGCAGGCCATTACAGCTCAGAGGTGTTGAAAGGGCTGCTTTTGCAGAGGGGACCACAAGGAGACCGAGGGCTGGGAGTGTGACATAGTCATCTCTTTCCTGGGAAACAGCTTTATTTACAAAACAGGTCTAAAAGAACACGAAATGACAAGCCCGTAGGAACGGTGGGAGGGCTGGCTCTTGGGGAACCAAGTGTGACGCCCAGGCGTCCAGGCAAAGGGCCTAAAGAAGGACCAATGTGTGGAGGGGCCCTAAAATTTGAATTCCTTATATTTCTTGCTGCCCCCGCGGCTGTCCTGGGGCTGAGCTTTTCGTTTCTTTTGCTGCAGAAGATCAAAGAGAAACAGGTTACCACATGTTACCCCACTGATTCCCAAACCAAGACTTGAGTAGCCTGAGAGAGCCAGCAGGTGCTAAAGCAAACATCCCTCCCCACCTGCCTTTCAGTTCCTTCCTCCCTGCGCCTCAGTTTCATCACCCTTGAAGCGCCCCCCACCCCCTCCCCATGGCAGTTTCTAAGGCTTTCAGCACCATGGAAGCTCAGAGCAGCAGGCTGCTTTCACCCTCACTCTCACATGACAGGACACTACTCCACTGAGGAAGGAGACCCAGGTCCCTGGTTCTCACTTAGTGGGGTCCCCCAGGAGCACCCACCTTCTGCTTCGCAGCATGCTCAGCCACCATGTCACTGAAGTCTTCCTTCTCCACCTGTGCCTGCTGCTCCCGCACATGCTCCTCATACTTCTGGGTCATGGCCATGGGGTCCAGCTCCAACTCTTCCGGTGCCAGGGCCACCTCCACCCCTTGTAGCTCTGGGGCTGGCCCTTTGCGGCTCATAACCTGAAGAGAGATCAGAGCCTGTTATTGCCAAAGAGAGGCACAGAAGCCCCAGTTTCTGCCACCCCCCCACCAAGTCCCAGGGAACATTGTCCCCCAGTTCTCACCGTGGACATGTCATAGATGTGGGTTGATCCCATCATGGCGCCCCCAACGGTGGCTGTTCTCTTCTCTGGCAACACAGTGAACAGCTGAGGAGTCTCACTTCTGTCAAGGACAATGGGGTCAAACCCCAAAAGGAAGGGACACAGTCTTCAAAAGGGAAGCACTTCCACCCAGCTCCCTGGGGTTCTACAACACCGGGGGGGGACACAGTCTTCAAAAGGGAAGCACTTCCACCCAGCTCCCTGGGGTTCTACAACACCGGGGGGGGGGGGATGCCCAAGCTGCCACTACCGGCAGACCCAAGAAGACTTGGAGGTTGGAGGTTGGTGGGGAGAGGGCTGGGCCCTGCTTACTGAGGGAACCCAAAGAGAAAGACCAGAAGCAATTGACCAGGATCAGCCAGACCAGGGCTGCACCCCCACCTAGTCCCCGGGAGAGAAGACAGTCTTCTCCCACAGCCCCTGGCGCCCACCTAAAACAACTGAGCCCCTTTCACTCCGCTGCCCAACACCTTCTGATCATTACTTGAATAAAATCCAAACTCCTTACGACGACCTAGAGGGTTCACAAGCTGGCTGTTTAGCTGATCCCGGTTCCCCATACTCTGACCTTCACTCTTGCTTTTCCTAGAATACTCAAAACCAGAGACCTCTGCTTCCAGACGAGGAGTAACGGAGACCAGACAGACCCATCCTGCAATAACCACCCTCTGCCCCCGAAAAAAGCAAAGTAGCTAAAACATGGTTTTTCATGTCACTGGACATGGAGCAACAGATAGTGATTGCTGAAACAGGAAAACAAATGAGGCGACTCCCTCTTTTGCTCTGTGGGCCATGGAGCAAGGGCGAGGTAGGGCCCAAGGAACTCCTCGGGTTGAGGGGCTGATGCTGAGGTGCAGGGAAGCCAAGATGACTAGCAAGCGCAGGGTAGAGTATGCAGGGGCAGCGTGCACATGCAAGCCCTGACAGGCCCACGAGGGCTCTGGCAAGGACGGCATGTGAGCAGCCTCGGAGGTCAGGGACTAGCAGGAAAGCGCCGGCCGCTCCCTCAGGACTGAGAGCAGGAGTGCCAGCTCTGCTGGCCAGACTGAAAATCTCCTGCCTCGTGGCCAACAGGCAGTGTGCGCGGAAGCGCCCCCACTCTGCTGGAGAGGACTGGACACTGCCCGTCCTGACTAAAGAACTTGAGAAGCAAGACCTGGAAGGCTCAAGCTGGTTCCAGTCCCCTTAACTGTACCCCTTAACAGAGCTGAGTGCTTAAACTAACAACGCAAAAGTACCCTGAGCCCAACAAGGTAGATTTCACCCAGCGTGCCATCAATCAAAAACTGACCTGTGCAGAACAGGAAAATAGAATCCTTAATGAGGGAAAGAATCGGTCGATTTAAACGAAGCCAGAACTGGCACAGAAGTTAGAATTAGCAGGCAAGTATATTAAAATGTTGTTATAACTGCACTCCATCTGTTCAAAAAGTTAAATTAAGAGACACAGAAGATATAACAAGAGCTAAGTCACACCAATAGAGATGCAAAAGAACACAGAGGGTGGGATTAATATCAGATTAGAAACTGGGGGGAAAAATTAGCAAACCAGAAGACACAGGAACAGCAGCTAAATGAAAATACACCCCAAAGTCTTTAAATTAACAGGATAACTTCAGAGAGATCCTAATGTACACTAGATGTACAGATGGAGCGGCCACGGGAGAGAAGCGTTTGGAGAAGTGATCCAGGTACAGCAACCACCGGGAGTCCAGAGGCCTAACGAAGCCCAAGCCAGGAGGGAGGAAGACACACGCTGAAAGCTGGGGTCAGACTGTCCCCAGCAGGGATGGAGGAAATCTTACGAAGTGCCAGCGAAAAGGGATACGTGGACAGAGAACACAGCAAAGATGATGACAGATTTCCTACCTGAAACAATGCAGGAAGGAAGACACTAGAACAGCTAAGGTAAAAAAGTTAAGCTGGACTCCTACAGCCAAATGAAGGTCAAATGAAGACATTTTTAGACCACAAAAGCTAAAAGAATTCATGACCAATATATGCACAGCCCCGAATGGAAGCCTTTCAGGCAGATGGAAAAGGATAGCAGATGGAAATCTGAATGAAGATTAAAGAGAAGGCCAGGAGTGGGAAGTGGGGGTGATGTGGGCGGCTATGATTTTTGTTATTTAAATTGCACTAAAAGTGCAATTATACAAAAGTAATAGCCACACAGTGCATACACAGACTTTGTAACATGTGAGAGTACAAGGCGCGACGGCGCAAGGGCGGGCGGGCGGGCAGGGGCTGCACCGCCGGGGCCGACGCCACGGGAGTGGCGCAGCGTCGCTTGAAGTCAGACTGGTAGGATGGCATCATCATCCCAGGCCACCGCGCGGTGACAGGACAAAAGCAGCCGTTAGCTATGACGGCTACAAGTCAGGGCGCTAACGCGGAGTCACAGCATGTTCTATTAACAAAGGCAAGGAGGCGGCACAAGTGGAGCAAAGTGCGGAATGGACAAAGAGGAAATCACCTTACGAAGAGGCCAGTTCGCCGAGACCTGACCGCCTGCCGCCTGGCTCCAGGCACCCCCACTGCGCCGCACGGACCCTGTGGTTTTCGCTATGGCGCGAGCCAGCTCTCGGCGCCCCCCACAGACAGCAGGCCCCTCCCCCGTGTCTCTCCGCTGTGGGAGGGCGTGGACATCAGGGTTTGGGACACACTGGACCCCGGAGTCTACACTACAAACGTGCCTCTTCTGTCTCTAGGAAACAGTATTTGGTGGCTCCCTTCACTTTGCGGCAGTGGTCAAGAACCGAAGCCAGTGTCCCTGCACCGGATGTGCCGATGCACCTACCGGCAGAGCTCCAAATGCCTGACTGCGGGGCCTCCCTGCTGGCGCAACAGGTTAAAGCGCAGCCGTGCAAGCAAGCCGCAGCTGCCTCCGGGTGACTTCGATCCCCACATGGCAGCAGACCTCTCCTGACCGCCCGCTGCTCCCCTCAGCAGCGTACTTTGTCAGTTGGCCTGTTCTGCTTCCCACTGTCTCTGGTGAATCCTCTCACTGCCTCTGTACCCCAATTCTGTATGCATAAATAATCTTTACCAAAAATGCACAACTGCGAGACCCCCACTGTCCGAGCAGCTTCACACTGCACTTGCAGCTCCTCCAGCCCAGGACCCCCCTGTGACTGGTTCCTGCCCAACCCTCAGCTCTCAGCTCAACCACCCCTCCTCAGGGAAGCCCATCCCAGGCCTCCCACCACCCAAGTCCCTTTACATCCCTACTTAAAGGATCTTGCCCCGCTGCCTAGAGCAGCACTTGAAACACAGCTGGTGTGCCAAATCTCAGTAAGTTTTAAAAACGGGGTACAGGGAAAACACCAAGGTCACCCAACCAACCAACAGGCTGAAGGGAAGAGAAAGTCCCCCCACCCCACTCTGGGCCCCGCCTGGTTCCCTCACCCGTCCATCGCCTCCTCAATCTTCTTCTTCCTCAGCTCAATGAGTTCGGGGGTCTCCATTCCAGCTGGAACTGACGAGAACCCTCCAGGAGTGATGAGGCCACTGTGAAGAGAGGTACAAGCTCTGGAGTACAGACGAGGTCCCCAAAAGCAGGTGCCTCCAAAAGGCAGCCTCTGCCTCCCACCTGTCTGCAGGGGTAACGAAGCCCGTCTCATCGGGCTTGTCTTCATCACTCTCTTCCTCTTCCTCTTCTTCAGAAGACTCTTCATCAGATGGCTCCAGCTCCCCCCAAGGGGTCCGATCAATCTCTTCTTCCTCAGTCTTGGTCTGAAAGAGATCAAGCATCCCCTCAGCCAAGGAAGTACCTGTCACGTGTTAAGTCACTGTAAGCCACTGGCCATGGGCGCGAGCGATGGACAGTGCCCACGGGGAGCTCACGTTCCAGTGGGGGGCTAATGTGACCACTCAGGAACATGTCCTCCCCTTTCGGACACTCAAGCTTCACGACATGCAGCTCACTGACCCACAACCTCTCAATTCAACGACCGAAAGACCAAGCTTACCAGCCATGGCCCTACCTGAAACTCAGCGGCGTTGGTCCCAAACACATCCCCATAGAGCGGTTTTCCGGTCTCGTCTACGGGTGGTTTGCCCCAGCCGCCAGCATGGTACCCAAAAGAACAGCTCTGCAAGAGAGGAGACGCAGGTCCAGAACACTGCAGCCCGAGAGCAGTTACGCTCGCGAGTACGGAGCGAACACTTGGGATCTCTGAAAATTCCGAGTTCAGAGAAGAATGAAATGCTGTCTCTAGCTCCGCGAGCTCCAGCGGACGGGGCGAGTAAGGCAGTCTCGCCTCCGTGGCGCCAACAAAGCAGGGGGAAGCACCAAGGCAACTGGCTGCCAAGCTGCCGGGGCAAGAGCACACCCTCTCTGGAGGGGCAGAGACCGCTCAGGGTGGGCGGTGGCAGCAGGCGAACCCTGATACACAGAGCCCCTTTCCAGCGCCTGGTGTGAGAAGCTGCTCCGGACGCTTCCAGCGGCGCTTCCAGAGGACAGCGAGGTGTCTGCAGGCGGTAAGCAGGCCTCTCTGCCGGGCCCTTCTGCAGACTCCACCCGTGTGCTGCCTTGCCCAACGTGTCCAGCCACAAGAAGCTCGGCCGCAGCCCTAGCACGCCGCCCCTGCGTGGACAGCCCACGCTGACAGGAAACATTCTCAACAAGAGAGATTCCCTTGCTGTTATTGGCATTTCTGAATACCAGGTCTTTTGATTCCATGGGGTCAAAAGATACCAAACTATATAATAGCAAGCAGAAAATGCAGGACAGAAATCAAGAATTAACAGTTTTTTCACTCCATTTGCATGTGATTTTTTAAATATACATGCAGGGATGTCTGTTAAGTCAAAATGTTTCCGTGGACGTGTTTCAGCAGTTTGACTGCAACAACTATAAATAAACCTGTCAGCTTCTTGTGGACTACGTGCAGTGTTTAAGGCCAGATTTTCATCAGGAAGTAGATTCCATCCCTTGCTCTACTTTTCTGAGTTGTCCTACAAGCAAGAATGTGTGTTTAGTGTTATTCCTGTAGGTTTGCTATTAGACACACTAAACAATTTTTGCAAACCCCAAAGCAAGCTGATGGGCTCAGCCTTCCAGGCAGAGGGCTTGCCATCCGACCCCAAACACTCACTTCAGGAAACATTACTCTGGGCCCTGCCTGACGACACAACGGCTTAAAGTGCAGCACTACGAAGCTGTCCGCAGCCCCTTTGGCACAAGTTCGATCCCCCGCCAGGGAGCTGACCCACACGGCACAGCAGACCTCTCCTGACCTCCCCGCTGCTCCCCTCAGCAGTGTACTTTATTGACCCGCCAGTTCTGCTCCCCGCTCTGTCTGGTGAAGCCTCTCATCCCTGCACCTCTGGCCTGTGCTCCAGTTCTTTTGTGCATAAATAAATCTTTAAAAAAAAGAAAAAAGTAACTCCAACTTGGGAAACCTGTCAGAATGTTTCTCTTAAAGGACAGCAGTTTTTATCTGACCGTTAACTAGCTCCTTGTCACTTTAATGACTTCGTAAGTTTAACCTGGTGTTTTTTATTTTAAAATTCTAAGTTCAATAACATTCTTACGTTAACACCAGTTCTACTTACCCACCATCTACCCACATTATCGATCAGAAAGATACTACAGACACCTTGCTCATATATTAAATTTGTTTTTTTCTGAGTGGTGAAACTATGAGTGATTCGTCTTCATCTTTGCTCTCGTAAATATGACTGTTTTATGATAAGCACGTCAGTGTTTTTTAAAAACAAAAAACATGTTATTCTTATTTAAAAAGAAAGAGAAAGACATGGTAAAATGAGAAAGAAAGTGGCCCCTCCCTGGTGGCGGAGCAGGTTAAAGCACAGCACTGAAAAGCTAAAGCCACTTCTGCATGAGTTCAATTCCTGCCTGCCCCGGAGGTGACCACAGGGCGCAACAGACCTCTCCTGACCCGCCCGCTGCTCCCCTCAGCAGTGTGCTTCATCGATCTGCCTGTTCTGCTCCCCGCTCTGTCTCTGGTGAAGCCTCTCGCCGCCCCTGACCTCTGGCCTGTACCCCAGTTCTGTATGCACAAATAAATAAATCTTTAAAAAAAAAAAAAGAGAGAGAAAGTAAAAAGCACCCTCCAGTTTAAAAGTAAAGGCTGGGCCCTCCCTGCTGGTGCAACAGGTTAAAGCGCAGCACTGCAGGGTGGCTGCAGCCGCTTCGGTGCGAGCTTGATCCCACCCCGGGAGTGACCCACATGCCGCAGCAGACCCCTCCTGTCTCCCCGCTGCTCCCCTCAGCAGTGGACTTCATCGACCTGCCTGTTCTGCTCCCCACTCTCTGGTGAAGCCTCTCCCCACCCTTGCACCTCTGGCCTGTACCCCCGTTCTGTACATAAATAAACACATCTTTAAAAGAAAACAGAGCGGAAAGGCCGCTGAGACTGAAAGAAGGGCCACGCTCACCTCCGGGATGGGCGAGTTCAGCCCGGGGATCTTCAGGTTGGGGTAGGACGGGGGCGGGCCATAGCGCTGCATGGCGATCAGCCACGGGGGCGGCACCTTGTGGGCGTTCTGAGGGAGCAAGCACACGTGTGATGGCACCGACCGGCCCCGCCTCCTTCCACCCCAGTTCTGCTGTCTCCCCAGTTCCACGAGTGGCACTCACCGGGCCTACTGGCATCCCCAAGGAAATCCTCAGCTCGTCAGACAGATCTCCTGGCTTCTTCTCCTTCAGTCGGGTCTCAAACTCCTTCCCCTGAGGAAAAAGAAGACCATGCTGTAGTGTGCGTGCCAGCCACGCACCGGGCAGAGAACAAAGGCCAGGAGCGCCAATCCACGTGGGGTCACGCTCCCCGTGAGAGCCTGGTCCCCACTGCCATTCTCATCACTCCTTTCTGGCGACAGAAGGAAAAGGAATGAAGGCCGGGAAGGAGGGGTGGGCCCCGGCGCTGTCGCCAGCCCACGAGAGCACCAGCCGGCTGAGGATCTACTTTCTCGTCTCTGAAACGAGGGCACCTGACAGGGTGATTCCAATGGCTTCCTGCCTCAAAGGTCCGTGACGTCATAGCGACTAACACCACAAGGGCCCAAAAATGCGACCCTCTCCTCCCCGCAACATCAGCCGTGCCCTGAAAGCACTGCCACTTGGCCTGTCCCTCCCGCCTCCGCCCTGTGTGGGCGCCACTTCCAGGCCTGGTCGCGCTCTCTTGCAGAACCACCTCACTTGAAGAGTTGGCATCCACCCTCCCGGGTGCCTCCAGCACAGGCCTGACCTCATAGTACAGGTCCCCGTGGATGGTCAGTTTGGGTTTGGTCTGCCACTTGAAGAAGGCGTCGTGCAGCTTCTGGTAGTCGATGTCGATCTTCCCCATCTTAGGCCGAACCTTCTCTCGCATTTTGGACTTCATGGTCTTCTGCTCTTCCTGTGGAGAATGCCAGAAGACACACAATAGAAAAGTATTCACCGAAGTCAGCCCTTAAAATGTCAGTCCCCCACCCCGAAAGAGATTAAGACAAACTTCATTTATCCAGCTCCTTCCTGTTCAAACCCCAAAATCCCCAAATCCTTTAAAAAAAAAAAAAAAAAAAAGACTTATTTAAAATTTATGCATACACTGGGGTGCAGGCCCAAGGTGCAGGAGCAGTGGGAGGATTCACCGGGGGTTGGGGGTGGGAGGGTGCAGGACAGGCAGATCTACAAAGTACACTGCTGAGGGGAGCAGCAAACGAGAGAGGAGAGGTCTGCTGCGCCCTGTGGGTCACCCCCTGGCCGGGGATCAAACCCGCCAAGCGGCTATAGCCAGCTTGCAGCGCTGCGCTTTAACCCGCCGCGCCGCCAGGGAGGACTACCCCAAATCCATTCCCAACAAAGAGATCTGCACGAACTCAGCCTCAGCCTCGGCACTTTCTCAAGCCACCTGACCAAGAGACTGAGCTGAAGTTGCCTAAGGGCCAGGGGCTGGAGTCTGGCGGCGGCAGCTCCGTGTGTGTGCCGGCACCCCGAGTGCGTGCCATGCAAGAAAGCATTTGCGCCCCCGAGCATCCCATGAAGAATCTCAAACTGAAGACGCGACGAAACTGCCATGTACCGCCAGTCGCGCCAGGCAGGCAGGGGAGCAGGGAACGGTGCGACGGCCACCAGCACCCGGCGGACAAGGAGCTGGCCACTCAGAGGTGGGGGCGGAGGTGAGGGCAAGAGGCCAGAGGGCCCAGCGTGGGCAGGGTGAGCGCAGGTGGGTCCGCCTGTCAGGGTGGTGTCCTCCCTCCCTGGACCTTCCTGCCAGGCGCGAGATGCGGCGCCGACTGCTCACGCGGAGGCCGGACAAGGAGACGACCCCCAGGTAGGGCGACCTGGGGGCCCGACTCTGACCCCCACCTCACCTTCTCCTGCAGCGCCTCGCGCATCTCCTGGATGCCTGTGCGCTTGATGAAGTCTGGCAGCTCGAACGGGGGCTTCTCAATGCCTCGTTTGCCCTGCAGGTACTTGCGCTTAAAACACCAGTGGCGTGGCACAGGCACTGAGTTCCGGGTGGCCTTGAGGTGAACCAAGAGCTTGGGGTCTTGTGCTGTCACATCATGCATCTCTACGACGTCGGGCCGCGCCACGAGCTGGAAAACACCGCAGCGTGACTCCAGGAGGCCACACTTCTGGTGAGGCACGCTGCGCTCTCCTCTGCCACCTCTTAGCGCAACTCCCTCAGTCACCCTGGCCTCCTTCGGAGCCCCCCTTCCCCAAAGCAAAACCCCTGCGGGATCCCCACCTAGCCCAGGGCCCGCTGGGTCATCTCTAGTCTCACCTGCTTTAGTTCTGCCACGGTAAAACGATTCATACGGCGCAACTTCTTCTTGGACAGTTTGGGGGCCTCTGGCTTCTTTTCCTGGAACAGAACAGTCATCATCCCTGAGCAGAACCCCCAGGTGGGAAGCAGACCGCCCACTGCAGCCCCAATTTTAAGCCACCCACAGGCCCCTCCCTGCACGCCGCCACCCCGGTCCCTCTCGGGCGGTGCCCGGGCCACCTGTCCCCACAGCCCGTCCCCACAGCCCGGCCCCGCAGCCCAGGCCCTGGCCCACCTGCTCGTCGTCACTGCTGTCGTCGTCGCTGTCCTTGTGCTCCTCCTCAAAGCCCTTCTTCTTGGGGGCTGCAGAGTTCTCCATCTTGTCCAGTTTCTCAGGCTCCTTCTCTTTCTCCTTCTTCACGTCGTCGGTGAGCTGGGAAGGCGGAAGGCATGAACACATGCCCCCTCACCCACTTGCCCTGCCCTGCCTGGCCCGCAGCCCGCTCCTCCCTGTACCTTGAACGCCTCAAATATCCTCTTGAAGAAGATGAAGTTGGGCTCGTAAATCTCAGGCTCTTCAGTCACATACTCGATTTCCACATCAGCAGCGGGGGAGTCTGAGCCCCGAGGTCGCGTGGACTCCTTCTCTCGGTCCCCAGAGCTCTCAGATGATGCCCCCCGTACCCGCTGGGGTTTTTTCTTCTTCTTTCGGTTGCGACGCTTCCGGTTTTTCTGTCAAAACAAGGGAAAAACCACAGAATTAGGCTTTCAGCAGCAGGCCTACTGCTGCCCTTCACCAGCTGCCCCAAGGAGCTAAGGAAAAGGGCCTTGAAGTCCGACTCCCAGGTCTGCCCCGGGCTGCAGCCTCTGGGCGAGTCACTGCCCCTCCCAGGACTGCGGTTTTTTCAGTGGCAAAGCACAGCACATGGAGCACGCGCACTCAGAGGTGTCGTGGCAGTGACGGAGAATGGCGAGCAGGCGCTCGGGGAGACAGGCTCCCACACAGGCGCTCCTCGCAGCGCTCAGAACGGCACCACCACGGTCGCGCCTTCAGGCCGGCCTTCTTGACTCAGCTCCATCCCATACCTCTTTTTTGGACACAGACCCCGTGTCCTCCTCCGTCTCCGATGCTGACTGGCCCAGGGACGAGCGAGTGTCTGTTTCCATCTCCTCTTCCTCTGTAAGGGACGCAGGTAGCCGTCAGCCTGCCCTGCCTGCCCGCTGCTGACGACCAGCCCCCTTCCCAAGAGCCAGCTTCTCGCTGCACCCCTCCTGGAAGGCAGGGAGGGCTGCAGGCCCAGCCCTCACCAGGTCCCCACCCTGCAGCCTCAGGCCCGCCACGCACCCTGCTGAGAGTTCATCTCTTCCTGGCGGCTCTCCTTCAGCTGCAGGATCTTTTCCAAAGCCTGGGGAATCTTGGGCCCCACAGAGGGGTCGTCCATCTGCCAGAGACAACCCAGGAGATGGTGTGTCCACAGTGCCCTTCCTCCTCTGACTTCCCTCTTACATCAGAGAGAACACTGGCCGAGAGATGTGAACAGCGACCAGACACATGCACGCCTGGGCATCCCTTAGTGAACCCGAGATCTTGCCCAAAATTGTTCCCCAGACCCTACGACCTGCCCCGCTCAACGTTTTAATTCGGCGTGAATGCCCTGACATTCCCCGCAAGAAGTCCTCCCTTCTTCTCCGAGGCTCCTGTGAACACCCAGAAGGCACGTGCCCCTCCTAAGCCACACTCTCAGGTCCTGAGGAAGAAATCACAAGCTCACCTCTCTGCTTTCATCTCCAGGGGGTGGTGGGGGACCACGAGGTCGGGGAACCGGAGCCCCCATGGGCAAAACAGTGGGAGTGGGACCCACTGGAGCCGCCACTGGAAGGAAGAAAAACCCAATCAGAGGGGACAAAACACTGGAAAAATGACCTTCCTTGCTAAAAGCCAGGGTGGGGGGAGGGGTGGCTAAAAGAGAGACTGGGAGAACTTTCGGGATGCCGGTAACGTTTCGGCTCTTGTCTGAGTACTGGCCATGAGGGTGTGTTCGGCTTAGGAAAACTCACTGGACCACCAGACACCGCCTAGGGGCACATGCCGTGACATACCCCCAAGCTGAGAAACTCCCCATCGCCCGCCCTCCCAGGGCTTACCACGAGGACCCAGGGGGGTGCGAACACCAATCTGACCCATGTCTTGAGGAGGCCGAGGGACTGGGGTACCCATCTTGGCGATCTCCTGTTGCCGTTCCTGTTCCAGTAACACAGCTGCCTGCGAGGGTGAAGGGGATGGAAACAGCTCGGAAATCCAGTCAACAGCCCAGGCACCCCCCAGCCAGTGCCTTCTTCAGCGAGGCAACAGCCCAAGAATACGCAGGCGCCCCTCAAGTTCTGACATCCCCTCTACTTCCCCAGTCCCCCTTTTCCACCTCCCGTTTCCTAGTCACTGCGCCAAACAGCCCTCTCTTCCCAAGGAAAACCCCTAGACAAAACCCTAGAAACTGAGAATTTACTAACTAGCTAAACACTGCTCTCATCTCTGAGTAAGACTTACCTCGTTTCTTCCCTCCTCAAAAGGCCGTTACTCCTAAGAAACAATGAGTTCTTTACTCACACGGACCCCTCAAGATCTAGCACAACGTAGGCAAAGACGGTACTTCGTAAATAACTCCTCATCTTCGCTATCATGCTCATTTTCCAGAACTCCTGAGAAACTCTCAGACAAGCAGCACAGTGCACCTCTGGGGTTGGAATAACACACGTATCCGCCCCTCACTTCAGTTACGTTCATCGCGTTTAGCCTAAATCCGACACAGATGACTAAACTGGCACAGAGTCCTCTCCAAATCCCCTAAAACATCAGCATAGAAAACTAGTAAAAGCAACAAACTTCTCCTGTAATAACCAAACAGAATTTCAAGCCCTCCTGGCCACTGTGCAAACTCTGCTGCCTATTTTGAGTTTGCGGGTTTTTCTGCCTGTTTTGTGACACTCCTCTAAAAACATAAAGCCGTCATCAGCTCACGGGCCATTCAAGACAGGCCACGGGCCATAGTCTATCAAACCCTGGTCTACAGAAGGATGCAATTTCTGGGAGATCCTGGAATTCATTTAGGATTAGGGAGTCTCCCCAGAAAACTTAAATGGTGCTTCCAGTTTTAGACCATAAATGACAGCCAATGGATTGGACCATGGGGTCAAAGGTCAGGAAGAGGGACATTACCCGCTTCTGCTGCTCCAAGAGCTCATGTTCCTTCAGTGAATGATCTCCCTGCTTAAGAGAGAAAACAGGCTCATACCAGCACCAATCCCTCACAGGCCAGACTGCCGTAACTCTACCTCCTAGAGTCCTCTTCCAGCCTAGGGCCTAAGTGCTAGTCTTGGTCCAGACTCTTCCCAGATACGCCAGGATCCAGCTCTCTCTGGGCGCCACTCCCCTACAGGACCCGGATGAGACCCAGGTCCAGGCTGCCACCTGCCCTACCTGCTTGGCACGCTCCTCTTGCTGCATCAGCAATGCTGCCTGCTGCTGGGCCAGCTTCAGCCGCTCCTCCTCGGACAATGCCACAGGCTCGCCCACCCGGAGAGGAGGTGGGGGGCCCAAGTTTGGTGGGCGGGGGCCAACTGCCATAGGAAAGCCAAGGCCAAGGCCTGGTGGTGGCGGCGGCGGTGGAGGAGGAGGCTGCAGTGGAGGGAGCCCCATAGGTGGCGGCGGCATGGGAATCCCAGGGAGCTGCAGGAAGAAAGGTGACCATGAGCTGCAAAGCCCTCAACACTGAAACACCTGCTGGGATTCAAATTCAAATAGCACCTGGGCCTCACATTCGAAAAGAGAGTAAGACAGGAATAGCACCAGAAAAGAATGTTGCAACACTGACCTATGAAAGCCACTGCCTGCCTCCATAAAAACTGTATAAACACAAGTACTGCATACAATTGCAGGAGACGTAGGAACACCTGTGAAGTCCTCCATGGACTCCTCACCACACACAGATACCAGATACTTTATTTTTTAATTTCTTTTTAAAGATTTTTATTTTTTATTTGTTGTGTAGAACTGTAGTGTAGATCACAGGTGGTTTGGGAGGTGTGAACAGATTCACCAGAGACAGTGAGGAGCAAAGCAGGTAAGAGGGGCAGCTGCTGAGACTGGAAAAGTCTGCTGCACCACATGGGGGTTAGCTCCCTGGCCAGGGATACAACTCAGGCCTCTGCAGCGAAAGCACTGAAATGTGACCTAGGCCACCAGGGAGGCCCCCCACCACTGGCTTTAGGGAAGAGCCATGTCCTGGATCAGAGAGAACATGGAAGCTGAGAGAACTTAAAAAGAGGCAGCGTGCCCCAATGAAACTGCCAGCAGGAACTCAGGGGTGGGAGTCCGCCTTCGGGCCTCACTGCAACATGGGGCCGTGCCCTAGGTTACTACTTTCCGCTGAGGAGGGAGTCAAGCCAGGCTTCCAGATAGACCAGCTGAATTTTAAATACCAGGTACAATGTGGAGGATCAGACAGCAGGGAAGAAAGGTGCATCAGGGCCAAGGGAAAACATAAGTGTCCAGTTCTGACATCACAGCACCTCACTGCCCAGACTGCTAGCCGCACCCCCAGTACTCACGTGAGCAGTGTCCTACCAAGAACTAAAGGAATGACAAGACAGAATGACCTTACCTGCGCTGACATGGGAGGAGCAGCTTTGTCCCCATCTTCACCTCTCAGGACGGGCCGGTTGAGCACGATGCCAGTCTGCATAAGGGAAAGGACTCTGTCAGTCCAAGAGGAGCTGTTGCACTAACTGACGTTCCCTCCCATTCATACAACAAAATTTACACGTGCTGGGCTGTGGGGAGGGTCAATGTATCCAAAAGCAACCGCAACAGAGAAGATACAGACAAGAACAGACGGAGGAGCACGGCTCCGCGGAGGGTGCGGAAGCACGTGAGGGATGGAGACGGGACAGTGAGGACACGCCGGCCTCCAGTGGAGGCTCGCCTACCCTGACATGCCGCCGCCGGCACTTACCTGGCGAGTGTAGGTCTGCAGCCGTTCTACCAGCTCCTCGCGACTCCCTGCTGGGCAAAGCACAGGATCAAAGAGGTAAGTCGGGCCGAGCAGAGCAGCGGGCCTCAGTCAGGCCCCAGTCGGGTCCCAGCGACCCGCCTCCCCCCTCCCCTCCCCCGGGTCTCCGGGGTAACAGGCTCTGCTTCCCCACAGGCCTAGGCAGCCCGCCCTTGACCGCCGGTGCTCCTCACCCTGGATCGGAGCTCCGATCTCTGCCAACTTAGCTTGTAGTTCCTGGGCCGCCCAGGCGCCATAATGTCCAGGAGGCGGCGGCGGCGGCAGCTGCAACTCCCCTTTTGGAGCCTCGGGATGCTCAGCCGCCATCTTAGCCGCAAGAAGGCGCGCGACCAATCCGGAAACTCGGACCGGCCGCGTAGCGCACTTCCCGGAACTTCCGTCAGCGCCGTACGCCACGTCCGCTCGGAAGCCGGAAGGTCCCTGCCGGGAATCGTGGTTGGTCACGGAAGCGGACGGGCCTCCAATGGACCGGCGGCCTGGTCGCAAAGCCACCTGGGAGTTGTAGTCCGCAGGGCCGCTCGCAGACCCGGCCGGGCCACAGCACTGGGACATTGGGGCTGGCGCGTGGGCGGGCTGCGGGGAAAGCTGGGCCCGCCCCGAAGGCGTGCTGGCCGTGTCTCGCCCGCCCAAGAGCGGATCCAAGTGTCTAGTCTGGCGGGAAACCCGGGCTCGAATGTTCCCAGGGACTCCTAGGGATGCGTTCTCCCAGTGGCCTCCCTTTGCGAGCGCCCGGCGGGAAGCTGCAGCCACTGCCTGTGACTGAACAGTGCCAAGTCGCTGCCCGCCCACCCGGGTCGGCCAGGGCTGCATACGCTGTGAAGGGATCGGAGCTTGGACAAGCGTGAGCTCTCCAGGGCTGAGCTCCAGTGGACTGTCTGGGGACAGGCCGCCCCTGAAGCTCCTTTTTCACCTTCCACCTCAGACGTCCACCCCGCGAAAAGCCTGCTCCCGCTTCCCTTTCCTTCCTTGGAGCACTTACAAAACATTCATCCTCTGCCATCTGCTTTTAAGTCTTTCTTAACTTTACCCCCCACCACCCCCGTCTTCATTGTCTTGCGGCTCCTGCAGACGCTCAAGAGACTACAGTGGGGGAATAATGCAAGTGTCATCTGTGCCTTTTGTGGTCTCCATCGTGGTCCCCACTGGCCTCCTGGCAGGGTCAGCCCTGCCTGGAGCCCTTCCCCCCAGAGCCTGTGCACCCTGGCAGAGTCAGACAGGTGTCCCCCACTTCCACTGGTCACCTCTCCCCACCACTACCACTAGCTCCAGGCCTCTCTCTGCCAAGGTCTCTCTCCCATTCCAGTCCTGTTGTCGTTGCCAGCCAGGCTCCATGGGAGTGAGTGGTATGAACTAGCTGAGAAGGCCAGGAGGCAAATGGTCTCACCTTCCCACACACACCCACACTCGCAGGCTCCATTTCACCAACTGCCTATGACAGCAGTTGCTGGGAGGGAGGGCAGGGGGTTGGCGTGGAAGAATGGGGAAAGTGAAGTTTAGGAGTGACAGAGAAAAGGACCGGCCAGGAAGTCTGCTTTCATCCTGGTTGTGGCTGGGCAATTCTCTTCTACTTCTGCCCAATCTTGAACCTTCCTCTTTCCGTCACCATCTTTCCAGTCTCCTGCACTCCCAGAGAAGCCACCCCCAAGGGACAACACAAAGAACAGTGGCGTGCGTCCCTCCTGTCTGCCCGCTCAGGCAGAGCCACTCCTGACCAAAGGAAGTAGCTCTCTGTTCCCTGTAACCAGAGTCCCTGGCAGGTCATCTGAGGCTGCAAGCCAGCCACCAAGCACTGCATGTGCTAGGTGAGGGGGCCTCAGGCACAGAAAACCACTGGTGAAGAGGCGATCAGGGCCAGAAGGGTCAAGGGGGCCCTCATGCATCACAACAGCCCTGGACCCAGACCGGGTTGGGTCCTCAGCCCTCCCTGCCATTGCGCAGAAGGGAAGACTGAGGGCAGAGACTCACCCAGAGACCAAACTGCAACCGCAGCACTTCTCCTTAACAAGGACCCTCAGAAAACAGCTCTCCCCTGCCTGTGAGGGTCTGTCATGGGATCCAGTCCCTGCCAGTGCAAACTCCGGAGGACTACCTCAGCCCCAGGCCAGCTTGGCAGGGGAGTATGTGTGAAAACCCAAATTAAATGTGGGACTGCGGGCATCTGGCAGGACTTTAATAAGAGGTGGTCAGAGCTCAGGCATAAGGAGTCATCAGAAAATTCAGGGCCACACACACCCCAGAGTTCACACAGAGCCTGCAGAACCTCCGAGGACAGCTCCCAGCTCTGGGACTTAGCGCAGAACTGGGGTTGAAGTGGGGTCTCTGGTTCCCAATACCAGGGGACTGCAGGGATCCTAGCCTCGATAAAGCTATGATGCGGTCCTGATGGAAACGGGGAAGGGACCCCCAGAGGTGTGAGGGCTGATGGGACCAGACAGCAGGCTACAACTGTGCTTCCCTGGCGCAGGTGGAGAGAAGGGGGAAGCCGGCGGCGGGCTGTGCACGCACAGGTGCTCCAACCGCAGGGCCCAGGATGCTGTATCCCCACA